TCTGCCAAGCATGAGCTGGAGAATCATGTGTGGTCATTAGCTTTCCATCACTGCAACAAAATACCCTGAGATAATCAACTTAAAAGGAGCAAAGGTTTATTTTGCCTCATAGTTTCAGAGTTTTCATTCCAGTGTTGGTTGGCTGTATTGCTTTTGGGCCTGTGGCAAGGCAGAACATCATGGCAGGAGCTGTTTATCTTATGATAGCCAAGATGCAAAGAAAGAGGCAGGAAGGGGCCAGGGTCCCAATATCCCCTAGAAGGGGATGCCCCCAATGACCTAACTTCCTCCAGCTAAGGCCTCAGCTCTTAAAAGCTCTACCACCTTTCAATAGTGCCACGGACTTGCAGCCACACCTTTAGCATATAGGCCTCTGGGGGGACATTCCAGTTCCAAACTATAGTAGTTGTATGGGTAGAGACAAATGTAACAAAGCATATAATAAAATGCAATAACGTCCTCTGGAAAAAGTTATCTTACAAGAAGAGGCCCATAGGGCTGGCAGAATTGCTCAAAAAGTAACAGCGCCTGCCTAGCAAGCATGAGGCCCTGAGTTCAAACCCCAGTGCTGTAAAAAAAAAAAAAAAAAAGAAGAAGAAGAAGAAGAGGCCCACTTTCTCTTTTCTTTTTTTTTTTTTAATTTTTATTTTTTTATTATTCATATGTGCATACAAGGCTTAGGTCATTTCTCCCCCCTGCCCCCACACCCTCCCTTACCACCCACTCCGCCCCCTCCCTCTCCCCCACCCCTCAATACCCAGCAGAAACTATTTTGCCCTTATTTCTAATTTTGTTGTAGAGAGAGTATAAGCAATAATAGGAAGGAACAAGGGTTTTTGCTGGTTGAGATAAGGATAGCTATACAGGGCATTGACTCACATTGATTTCCTGTGCGTGGTGTTACCTTCTAGGTTAATTCTTCTTGAACTAACCTTTTCTCGTTCCTGGTCCCCTTTTCCTATTGGCCTCAGTTGCTTTTAAGGTATCTGCTTTAGTTTCTCTGCGTTAAGGGCAACAAATGCCAGCTAGTTTTTTAGGTGTCTTACCTATCCTGACCCCTCCCTTGTGTGTTCTCGCTTTTATCATGTGCTCATAGTCCAATCCCCTTGTTGTGTTTGCCCTTGATCTAGTGTCAGCATATGAGGGAGAACATAAGATTCTTGGTCTTTTGGGCCAGGGTAACCTCACTCAGAATGATGTTCTCCAATTCCATCCATTTACCAGCGAATGATAACATTTTGTTCTTCTTCATGGCTGCCTAAAATTCCATTGTGTATAGATACCACATTTTCTTAATCCATTCGTCAGTGTGGGGCATCTTGGCTGTTTCCATAACTTGGCTATTGTGAATAGTGCCGCAATAAACATAGGTGTGCAGGTGCTTCTGGAGTAACCTGTGTCACAGTCTTTTGGGTATATCCCCAAGAGTGGTATTGCTGGATCATATGGTAGATCAATGTTTAGCTTTTTAAGTAGCCTCCAAATTTTTTTCCAGAGTGGTTGTACTAGTGTACATTCCCACCAACAATGTAAGAGGGTTCCTTTTTCCCCACATCCTTGCCAACACCTGTTGTTAGTGGTGTTGGTAATGATGGCTATTCTAACAGGGGTGAGGTGGAATCTTAGTGTGGTTTTAATTTCATTTCCTTTATTGCTAGAGATGGTGAGCATTTTTTCATGTGTTTTTTGGCCATTTGAATTTCTTCTTTTGAGAAAGTTCTGTTTAGTTCACGTGCCCATTTCTTTATTGGTTCATTAGTTTTGGGAGAATTTAGTTTTTTAAGTTCCCTATATATTCTGGATATCAGTCCTTTGTCTGATGTATAGTTGGCAAATATTTTCTCCCACTCTGTGGGTGTTCTCTTCAGTTTAGAGACCATTTCTTTTGATGAGCAGAAGCTTTTTAGTTTTATGAGGTCCCATTTATCTATGCTATCTCTTAGTTGCTGTGCTGCTGGGGTTTCATTGAGAAAGTTCTTACCTATACCTACTAACTCCAGAGTATTTCCTACTCTTTCTTGTATCAACTTTAGAGTTTGTGGTCTGATATTAAGATCCTTGATCCATTTTGAGTTAATCTTGGTATAGGGTGATATACATGGATCTAGTTTCAATTTTTTGCAGACTGCTAACCAGTTTTCCCAGCAGTTTTTGTTGAAGAGGCTGCTTTTTCTCCATTGTGTATTTTTAGCGAAGAGGTCCACTTTCAAAGCCTACCCCAACCACTGAACAAGCTCCAAATTCTAGACCAGGGAGCTGGGAGTATAGCTCACATTTTATAGCATTCACCAAGCAAGCAGAGGCTCTGTATAGTCCCTGGTACTGCCTAAGCAAAACCTCTGAACCAAGGTGCAATGCCCTGGTTAGGGAGTTCGGCAGTTTATCACCCCTTCTTTTTGCCATTGACACTGAAGCCCAGGGGTGGAAGTGACATCCCAGGGGTCACACAGAGTGTCTCGGTTAGAGCCTAGGCCTTCAGGACTCTGTTTTGTCCATGTCCTCTCCTCTTCTGGTTCCTAAAGCTAAGTGTGACATGGCCTCCTGGATTGATCACACTTTTTGTCACTATGACAAATAGCTGAGAAAACACCTCAACAGGAGGAAACCTCATGGTTTCAGAGGTTTCAGTCCATGGTCAGCTGGTTCTGTTGCTGTGAGCCTGAGGCAAAGCTAAACATCATGGCGGAGCAAAGCTGTGGAACAAAGCTGTCATCCCATGGCAGACAGGAAGCAAGGCAGACAGGAAAAGGCCTGTGGCAAGGTATAACCCCTTCCTCCATCTAGGTGCCTTCCTCTACCTAGGCCCCACCAACTAAAGTTTCCAGTGCTTCCCAAAAGAGCACCCCTCGGGCAGGGCATGGTGCCTCAGGCCTGTAATTACAGCTACTCAGGAGGCAGAGATTGGGAGGATCAGGGTTTGAGGCCAGTCCAGGGAAAAAAATAGCAAGACCCTATCTTAATTAATAATCTGGGTGTGGTGACACTTGTCTATTAACTAATCCCAGCTATGAGGGAAGCACAAGTAGGAGGATCGTGACCCAGGCCAGCCCAGGCAAAAAGCATGAAACTGAGAAATAACTAGCAAAACAGGGCTAGGGGTGGGGCTCAAGTGGTGGAGTACCTGCCTAGCAAGTGTGAGGCCCTGAGTTCAAACCCCAGTACCCCAGGAACAAAAAACATACATATATTCCCCTAGTTGGGGACCAAGCCTTCAATACATGAGACTGCAGGGACATTTTATGTTCAAACCTTAACACCTCCTTTTACAGACAGCCAAAGCCTAAGGATACTAGGGTTTCTCAAAAGTCATTGCACCTCTTTCTTCCTACCTGTCTCAAGGGCCTGGCATCACTATTATATGAGACACATTTACCACTGAAGCCCAAGAGCAGGAATGGGGTCATTTATCATATCACCTGGCATAAAGCAAGGCTGTTGAGAATTGAACTCAGAAAGATACGGTGTGAATTAAAGCCCTGGGGATATGAAGAAGAGACCTTGAGTTAGCTGGGATGCACCATGTACTTGCTGAGTGACCTTGGACAAGTCTCTGAGACACACTGAGCCCCAGTTTTCACATCCACAAAATGGGCATCACATCTGCTACTGTACAAGGTGGTTGTGACAATGAAAGAATTTACGTGTGGGAACATGCTTTGTAAGCATATGGCTATCACTAAATTAAGCATGGCTGGGACCCCGATGTGGTGAGTTTGAGGTTGCCAGGTCATCTGTTTGAAGGGGAAGAAACTCCTGTGGCCCTGAGTACCATGCACTCCCAGGCCGGCTTTTGGGTCCTTGTGCCTGATACATCCACGGTGATATCCACATTTCCTCCTTGTCTCCCTGGAAAGCCATGCTGCCTACCTGCTTCTCAGCAGAGTTTCCTCAGAGTTCACATCCAGCCCTGAGAAGGCACTGGCTCAGGGGTCAGGGGTCACATCAACCTCAGGAGGAAGTAGCAGGTTTACAAGCCTGTGCTTTGGGATGGCTGAATAACCTTTGATCCGCTCCCCTAAAGGAATAAGGGCATTTGGCTGTGGCCTACAAGTCAGCCTTTAGTTTTCTAGGAAATGTGGACTGCAGATCTACTTCAGTGATTCTGGGGGGATTATGTTGGCTGCTGCCAGGCCTGGAACATCATGGCAACTGGCTGCCCTCCTACTGCATTGTGGCCTATCTGTCCAGAGGCAGACTTGTTCCCAGGACTCAGCCAAGGGCATCCATCACGTGCTCTCCTGCCTGCCTGCCTTGTCCCCTCCTGGCCCACAGTCACGTGAGGGTGGCAGGTACCAGAGCTGGCCTCAGCCCTCCATGCTGCCCAGACAGACTTCCGGGAGGCACCTCTTTGTTCCTGAAGGTGCAGCTCCAGTCCACTTCCCTACATGCCCACCGATGGCACCTGTCTGGTGTATGGTTACCTCCTGCCTATGTTTAATTCATGGCTGGGGGTTGGGATGAGCTTCCAAAGAAAGGAAAGAACTCCCCTGAGATCTTGCCCAGTTTCTGACCATCTCATAGGGCCCACAGCCGAAGCCCCAGCCTCTTCCCCAGGTCTGGGTCTAGGGAGTAGAAGCTCTGGATGGGCTTGGAGACTGTCCCAGCCAGGGTATAGCCATCCACTGTCCCAGCCAGGGTACAGCCATCGGTCCACTAATCCACAGCCCTGGAATGTCTGTGGGCCAATCAGCAGGGTCTCTAGGGGCTCCCCGAGGGTGCTAATAATCCTGCAATGATTAGCAGGGGCCAGGAGGTCAGTGCACACTGTACTGCCTGCTGTCGGTGGGGCAGGCTGGCCAGGCTGTGGAGGCTAGAGTATGAGGAATCCGGGAAGCTGTCTCTTTTCAAGCCAGTGCCGACTACAGGAGGCTGTTTGGACACACTGATTACTCACCAGCCTCCCTCTTTTGTCTGCCAGCCCAGCCTGACTCCTAGAGATTGTGAATAGCTTCATCCAACCTGCGAAGCAAGCTGGACGGTTGAGCCAGGCGGTGCCTGCAGTGCCCCACAGGTCCATGCTGCAGCCTGAGTCCTCCCCAGGGCTGCGAGGCCAGGGCCCCTGGTTTGGCCTCCTGCCTGTGCTCCTGGCTTTCCTTGGCATTGCCTGCGCAGAGGTACAGCCACCTCAGTCACCGGAGCAGACTCCAATGCCTGGAGGTAAGGGTCACCTGGGTGAGGACAGGGGTGGAGGAGCCATTGTGAGCTCTGCAGAGGGGACACCAGGGGACTTCTGGAAGCTAGGTCCCAGACCTGAGCCCTGTGTTGTGCTGATGTGACCTGATGAGGGACTCATCAGGACAGTCTAGGGTGTGTGGTGGATGGATGCTAGGCTGGGGGGAGTAGAGGGGATGAAGTAGATGGGTCCGGGGTTGGGATCAAGGAAGGATATCAGCTGGAACCTGCAGCTGGAGTCCCAGAAAAGACAAAATGATTGAGAGGAGCCCCAGCTGGGGCACTGCTTTAAGCCCAGGGTTGGGCCTCTCATTCCTCTGCCATCCCCTATTGTCACAGCACTGTTTTATAACACCATCTCACCTCCATTCCTGTCTCCATTTTCTGGTCTCCCTCTATCCCCGCTCTGCACCCTCCCATGATCCACCATGATCCTCCCCATCTAGGTCTTCTTCCTAGGGGTGAAGAGGCACTCTCACCTCGCTAAGGTGACACTGCTTCCTGCTCAGTGGGCTGACTTTCTTCCCTGTCCCCCAGCCCTTAGCAGGAAGGAGCGTTTCTTTCTCCTCTCCCTACACAACCGCCTGCGCAGCCGGGTCCAGCCCCCTGCAGCCAACATGCAGAGAATGGTGAGTGCTCCTAACCCCCATCTACCAGAGAGGGCAGTTCAGGGCTCAGGAGGCCATGACAGTGACAAGCACTCTTTCACCTGGGTAGGACAGCCAGTCACCTTGCCCCTTGGAGGGACCATGGTCCTGGTTGCTCCTTGACTTCCTCCTCCCCAGAAGGGCCCCTAGTGTAGGAGGTCAGGCCCCTAGGCTCACACTTGCCTGAAGGGCAGACCTTGGGCCTTCCCTGGCATCCCGTTGCCACGGAGACCAGAAGACATGGAAGGAGCCTGGATTCCCTCCTCCAGGGAGAGAAGCTGCACAAAGAACTCCAGCAGGAAGGGAGGTGGGTACAGGGAGAGAGAAGTGTCCTGCTGGCCTGCAGAAGGGCTTGTGTGTGACCAGGGTTTATCTGGGCAACTAGGAGAGGCCTCTCCTAAGTTCCTCACTCATTTTGAAACCTGGGGTAGGGTCTCAATTCTAGTTGAGGTGCAGGGTTGGGGCTGCCATCCTGGGGCTCAGAAATACTTCCCCATAATCTGGGTCCCCAACAGCCCCCGCCCATGTGAATAGGCCAGAAAGCAAGGGCAAGAAGGGTAAGGACAGGCAGTGTTTCCCATGGCTGCATCCCATAAACTCCTCCGAGGCTGGCAGCCACAGTGGGTGGCGACCTTGAGAGCTCTGAGGTCAGTTTCCCAGGACGTGGGGGTGGGGCAGGAAGGGAGGGTTCGGCTTCTCCCCCTTTCCCTGCCCTAAGTGGTTTTGCTCCTTCCCCTGCAGGCAGGGGGACAGCTATGGATCAGCTGGTTGGCAGTTTGTACCTTTTTCAGGCCTTTTGGTCAAAGTCTTAGAAAATTACATTAAAAAGAAAAAAAAAAGGCGCTGGTGGCTCACGCCTGGAATCCTAGTTACTCAAAAGGCAGAAGAGATCAGGAGGATCGCAGTGTGAAGTCAGCCCAGGCAAATAGTTCATGAGATGCTATCTTGAAAAAAACCATCACATAAAAAGGGGTGGCAGAGTGGCTCAAGGTGAAAACCCTGAGTTCAGACCCCAGTACTGCAAAATAAAAACAAAAAAAAGGAACAATGTGTGTGAAACTCTGGGTTCGATCCCTAATACAACCAAAAAAAAAGCACAAGTAAGCCAGGCATGGTGGCTCACACCTGTAATTCCAGCTACTCAGGATTGCAGTTTGAAGCTAGATCAGGCAAATTTAGCAACATTCCCATCTCAATAAACTGGGCGTGGTAGTGTGCACCTCTGGTCTCAGCTACTCAGGAGGCTATAAGTAAGATGTGGTCTGAGGTCAGCCCATGCTCCCTCCCCAAAAAAAGCTACTTGAAAAATAACTAAAAGTAAAAAAAAAAAAAAAAGCAGGGGGAGCAGAGGTCATTGTTCAAGTGATAGAGCGCCTGCCTAGTAAGTGTCAGGTCCTGAGTTCAAACGTTAGTACAGAAAAAAAAAAGAAAGCACGAGTGGTGCCTTACCACTCAGCCTCCCTCCCATCTTGTCCTGCACACCCCTGTGGGTCTTTAGTGTTCTATGGTGCCTGTCTTGGAATACAGTGGAGAATGAAGCCCTCGGGGTGGTGGGGGCTGCTGAGGAGACCTGGGAGACCCTTCCCAACCTTCCTCAGCGCTCATCATAGGTGAGGCCTGCTACATCCATTTAATCTCCGTAACAATCTTGTTGTGGTTTTCTTTTCTTTCCCCTTCCTTCCTTCCTTTCTCCCTTCCTTCCTTTTCTCTTTCTTTTTCTCATTTATCTTTGTGGTGTACTGCAATTTGAACTTAATGTCCCACTTTGCAAGGCAAGCACTCTACCATTTGAACCTTTTTTGCTTTAGTTATTTTCTGAATAAGGTCTCACATTCTTGCCAGGAGTAGCCTGGACAGCAATCCTATTTATACCTCCTGTATAGCTGGAATGATAGGCATGCACCTCCACTGTTGAATTGGGGGGACTCACTAATTTTTTTGCCCAGGCTAGTCTCAAGATGAAATCCTCCCAATTCTTGCCTACCAAGTAGTTGGGACTGCAGGTGTAAGCCCCCTGAGCCAAGTTTATTGTTTCTGAGACAGGGTCTCACTATGTACCCCTATCCTCCTGCCTTTGCCTCCCAAGTGCTGGGATTACAGGCGAGCTCCTCCACCCACCATGCCCTGTAGGCACTTTATTGATGCCATTTTAAGGTTGAGGATATTGAGTCTCATGGAGATTAAGTGATTGCTGGAGGCCTCATAGCCGAAATGAGGTAGCTGGGTTGGACCAGGAGTGGTGATGAGATGATGATGGCTGAGAGCCAGGGGTGGGAGTGATGGTGGAAGTAAGCTGGTGCTAGTGGGAAGAGCAGGTGAGACCTTTCCAGAGAATTCAGCTCACTGGGGCCATAGTGTTGAGACCCAGGAGACCTCTCACATCCTTTTCTTCCCACTGGTTCTCCCAGACACCCCAGGGAAGTGGGGCCAGGAAAATAGGAGAGAAGCATGGCTACTGGGGCCATTTGCATTACCGAGGGAAGTTTGGCCAGGTGAAAGAAGCAGAGTCCTTCTGACAATGGCCAGGGCCAGCTTCACCCAAAGGCAAACACAGAACCAGTCTGCAAGGCTTGGGCACTGCCCAGGCTCACATCACCAGATGCAGAAAGTGGTTGCAGAAGCCCATCCTGTGGCCCGGACTGGCACCTGGGCAGAGCCTAATGATGTCCATGTGGGATTCAAGAAGATGGAGCCTCAGTCCTGGCAGAACTAGACTCTGGGTCAGGTGTCAGACACTACCTGTGCTTTCTCAACACATCTTAGGGAGTTCTGGGGTTCTGTCTGACCTTCCTCAGTCCTGTACAGTGAGGGAAACCAATCCAGAGCATTAGGCAGCCACAAAGGACTCTTCATCACTCAATGTTCTCTTCCTGGCATGACCTGGTACCTACGATGCTGCAAGATAATGAGGAGTTCAACTGTTGCTCAAAGGTCTCCCTCTTCACCCCAAGGCTCCCTGCAGATGTCTCTGTTTGTGTCACCCTCAGGACTGGAGTGAGAGCCTGGCCCAAATGGCTCAAGCCAAGGCAGCCCTGTGTGGCACCCCAGCCCCAAGCCTGGCATCTGCCCCAGGGCGTGAGTCACAAGTAGGCTGGAATGTGCAGCTGCTGCCCACAGGCACAGTGTCCTTTGTTGAAGTGGTCAGCCTCTGGTTTGCAGAGGGACAGCAGTATAACCACGCGGCCGCTGAGTGTGCCCGCAATGCCACCTGCACTCACTATACTCAGGTGAGTGTGTCGCTAATAAGGCCAAGGCATGGCTCCCCAGAGGCTGCTTGGGTCCTATCAGAAGAGATGGGCTACACTGTTCTACATACTAGGATTCTTTTTCCTTCAATTTGCTTAGTCTTACTTTTCTCAACTTTAAATAACAATTATTTCAAACATAAATTTAAAAAGAAGCCAAATGTGGTGACACATGTCTGCAATCCCAGAACTCAGGAGGATTGAGAGTTTGAAGCCAGCCTGTGCTACACAGTGAGCCCTGTCTCAAGAAAACCAAAGGCTGGGGGTGAGACCGGGGGTGTGGCTCATGTGGTAGAGCTTGCCTAGTATGTGCGAGGCTCTGAATTTGGCCCCTACACCAAAAGAAAAAAAAAAAGGCCCCCTCTTACCCACTACCTAGATTTAGAAGATATTACTAAACCAAAGCCATGTACCTCCTCTTTTTCCTGTTCCTCTCCAGAAGAACCTTCCCAAAGTTCCAACATAACATTCCCAAGCAAGTCCCCCCCCCCAACACTTTATTCAACAACTATTTCTTGAATGCTTTCTGTGTACCTGACACTGTTTAGGCACTAAGATATAATACTGGAAAAAAGCAAAATCCCAAACATGTTTTAAAACCTTTGCTACACACACAATGGTAATGAAATTGACTTTTAATTTTCTTTTCTCATACTGCCCTTACCTGAAGTGAATCCGAATCAGTGCCTCATTTTCTAGTCTCTGAGATAATTTCTATATGTGCTATAACCCTCCTGTAAAACTGGGCCTTATACTATTTTGTGTTTGTTTTCTGTGTGTGGGGGCATGTGTAAATGGATTCTTAAGCACTGATTCAACTTTTAGAAATGGTGGACTGGAGGTGTGGCTGGATCAAGTGGTAGAGTGCCTGCTCTGTAAACATGAAGCCCTGAATTCAAACCCCAGTCCCACCAAAAAAAAAAAAAAAAAAGGAAAAAAGAAAATGGTTATACGTCATTTCAGGATTTCTATTTTGAGATCATTTGCCAAATTCTATTTTTCTATGGAATTTCCTATTTTATGTTTTCCAATTTGTTGGTTATGTTGTTCATCACTTTTTTTTATTTTTATTTTTTGGCAGTACAGGGGTTTGAACTCTACTTGCTAGGCAGGCACTCTACCTCTTGAGTCACTCTGCCAGCCCTGTTGTTCATTATTTAACAGCTTTGAAAATTGACTTAAATAGATTTTTAATATATTAACTGTCTTTAATTATGTCTTTTTTAGAATTCCCAATATTGTTTCTTTGTGCCTTCTCTCATATTCCTTATTGATATTCCCAGAGGTTTGTCTATTTTTTAGTCTTTTCAGTAAATTAGATTTTTGTTTTCTGTTTTTCATTATTCTTAATTTCTGCTCTCTTCAATTTTCTTCTAATTTATTCTTATTCTTTTATAGTAGTACTGGGGTTTGAACTCAGGGCCTTGTGCTTGCTAGGCAGGCGCTCTGCCACTTAAGCCACCCCCCAGTCCATGTTTTCTTCTTTACTTACTTATAAATTATTGACTTTACATGGTATGACACTGAGGCAATACAAATAGTGGCACATGTCTGTAATCCTAGCATTGGGGAGGCTAAAGCAGGAGGATCACAAGTTCCAGACCAGCCTGGGCTACACAGTGAGACCCTGTCTCAAAAAAAACCCGCTGAGGTATAGCACAGTGGTAGAGCACTTGCCTAGCATGGTACTTGGGGTTCAATCCCCAGTACCATAAATTGTATTGCACCGAATTCATAGAATGTGGCTTCCAGGACATTGATTCTTTGGTATTTGTTGAAATTTGCTTTGTGGTCTAGTAAGATGTCAATGTTTGCAAAAGTTCCATGTATTTCTAAGAAAGAACGCACATTCTACTTGTTGGATACATAAATATGACTCTATGTTTATACCTTTTTCACACAACCCACTCTCATATTTGTCAAAAATAGCCACTATTTTTTTAGTGGCTACCGGAGAGTTTGCTTAACTGTTCCTGTGTATCAACCATTTGTGCTATTTCCAATTTGTCACTGATTCTGAGACTTTTAACCTAAGTTAAAAACTTGCATCCTTCTGGGTGCTGGTGGCTCATGCCTGTAACCCTAGCTACTCAGGAGACAAAGATCAGAAGGATCACGGTTTGAAGCCAGCCAACCCAGGCAAATAGTTTGTGAGACCCTATCTCAAAAAAAAAAAATAACCCATCACAAAAAAGGGGCTGGTGGAGTAGCTCAAGGAGTAGGCTCTAAGTTCAAACCCCAGTCCTGCAAACAAACAAACAAACAAACAAAAAAAAACCCTGTATCCATTAGTTTTTTTTTTTTCTTTTTTGGTGGGACTGGGGTTTGAACTCAGGGCTTCAAGATTACAAAGCAAGTGCTCTACCATTTGAGCCACACTTCCAGCCCATTTTGTCCTTGTTATTTTGGGGATGAGGTCTCCTGAACTATATGACCAGGCTGACCTTGAACCATGAAACTCCTGATCTCAGCCTCCCAAGTAGCTAACATTACAGGGATGAGCCACCAGCGCCCGGCATCCATTAACTTTTGCTGGATGACACACCACCTCCAAAATAGCAGGCTACGACCAGTTGGATTGGACTCAGCTGGGAGAGTCTCTAGTCTTATCTGGGCCCATTTATGAAACTGTAATCAGCCAGTGGGTTTGCTGGGAGCTGGCTGTCCAGAGAGACCTCAAACGTATCCTCTCTGCCCTGTGAGATGTTTCACGCTCCAGCAGGCCAACGTGGGCTGGTTCATGAGGTAGATGAGCATGGATCTATGAGCATGAGTGGAAACTGCAGTCTCTTTAGGCCTGAGTTCAAAATCAGCTCAGTATCACTTCTGCTGCATTCTTTAGGTCAACACAAGTCACAAGGCCAGTCAGACTCAGGGGTGGGGAGAAAGACATTGCTTCTTGTGGCAAAATAGCTGCAAAGTGACATGAAAAGAGTGGGCTTGTGGGCTGGGGCTATAGGTTAGTGGCAGAGTACTAGGGTGCTTGTTGAGCATTCATGAAGCCCTGGGCTTGAGCCTCAACACAGCAAAAAACAAAAACAAAAACAAAACTGACTGTAGATGGGGTACTTGGGGTTGAACTCAGGGCCTTCACCTTGAGCCACTCCACCAGCCCCTTTTTTGGTGAAGATTTTTTTTTTCAAGATAGGTCTCGAGAACTATTTGCCTGGGCTGGCTTTGAATCATGATCCTCCTGATCTTTGCCTCCTGAGTGGCTAGGATTACAGGCATGAGCCACTGGTGCCCTGCTCCAAGTCTTTCTTTCACTACTCTCTACCTGCCCATGATCTCCCCTTCCTTCAATATCTACTAACCCTTACCTCCTGCTCAGAAATTCTTCTCACCATCATAATGGCCCTGCCCTGCTGCTCCCGAGGACCCCAGGGAGGACAGAGAACTCTCTGTGTGCCTGGATTAGTATCTTAGCTATGTCATTTCCCTGCCTGATGTGTACTGCCTGTGCTCCTATCTCCCCGATTGACATGGGGGTGGTTTGTGACTATGTCCACTATGTCCCCTGAAGCTCGTGTGGGCCACTTCAAGCCAGCTGGGCTGTGGGTGGCATCTGTGCTCTGTGGGCCAAGCAGCGATGGAAGCCTTTGTCTGTGCCTACTTCCCTGGGTAAGCCCCTAAGACATGGGCTAGGGTGGGGGGCAGGGCAGGACACTTTCACTGTGGGTGATACTCACCCATCCACCCAAAAAGTCTGCACCCCTTGGTCTGCACCCTTGGTGAGAGAGGGAAGAGAAGGAGAAGGAGAGGATGAAGAACAGGGTCTGTCTGGGCACACCCCTTCCTGGAAGCATGGCCCTGCTTTTAAGGACTTTGCCCAGGATTTGTGTAGAAGTCATCTTTTCTTTCCTAGCAGACCTCCCTGTCTCACCCAGCTCCCTAACTCCCTGGCTGGGCCAAAGACACTGAAGGGGACAATGGGGAAGGCAGCAAGTCCCTTCCCTTGCCTTGCTCAAGGCCAGGTCCTTCCAGACCCTCTGGCACTTGCTCTCACAGAGGCAACTGGGAGTTAGATGGGAAGACAATCACCCCCTATAAGAAGGGCACCTGGTGTTCGCTCTGCACAGCCAGCGTCTCAGGCTGCTTCAAGGCCTGGGACCACACAGGGGGGCTCTGTGGTGAGTGTTCCACCCTGCTTGCCTCCTACTGAGGCAGCAGGGACATGAAGGTTTGGTCTGGTGACCCTGGGGTGGGGGGCAGAAGTCTAAAGGGCTGTCATGGAATCCCTGGCCCGTGGAAAGCACCTGTCTAGCCTACTGAGAAGTGACTTCTCAAGGTTCCCTCCTCATCTGACCAGAGGTCCCTAGGAACCCATGTCGCATGAGCTGCCGGAACCATGGACATCTGAACATTAGTACATGCCACTGCCACTGCCCCCCTGGCTATACAGGCAGATACTGCCAAGGTGAGAACACAGCTCTCATTCAGGCTGCCCGAAGGTGAGGGGGAGGTGCACCTGGGTGTGCACACATCTGCCCTGAGAGCTGGGTGGTGGGAGGCTGAGAGTATTTTGAGGGATATTTGAGTGGGTTAGGGATGCTGACCATGTACTTACTGGGTTTGCACAGTGCATGCATTCAGTCAACAAGCATTCATTGAGCACCAACTGTGTGCCAGACCCTGAGTCAAAATGCAATCAGGTTTTGCCCTGGAACAGTGGGGAGGATAGAATTAGAGAACCAAAGTGGATTTTTGTTGCATGCTTCTCCCATGACCATGGGTAGATCATCTCTCAAGCTCCTATTTGCTTCTGTCTACAATGGAGGATCAAATGAAGAAATCCAGTATGCCAGCAGCTGGAAGCCTGATAGCTCCATCTGAGAGGATTGTCCTGACTATGGTGGACATTCCCCAATTCTCCAAGGCCTATGGGGGGAAGCAGGCGTCCAGGGGGCTAGCGGCTTAGCTCTCTGCCCTCCTGCCCTGTCCTGCTGAGCTCTCGGCCTTTCTGTCCTGTCCTGGCAGTGAGGTGCAGCATGCAGTGCGTGCATGGCCACTTTCGGGAAGAAAAGTGCTCTTGCATCTGCGATGTTGGCTACGGAGGAGCCCAGTGTGCTGGTGCGTCCTACCCTAAGAACCCTCTCAGTACTCCCCTTCTAGGGTGCTGGATCTGGCTGTACCAGCTCACAGCAGCCCATTGTGTGCATCTCTTCCTAATGTCTCATTCAGTGATATCACATTAATAGCTTGACATTGGCCATGGTGAGGGTATTTACACCACAGAAGCTAGCCAATGCTACAATCTGTGAATCTTGCTATTTAAGAGAGTGAGAGAGAGAGTTCATTGTTATACATTTACCAGCACACCACTAGCCCTGACCTACTTCCAATTTGGAGCAGGTGTGGCCAGAGAAAGGGGCACTTTCAGCTTAGCTCCCTGGCAAGGTGGGAGAGGGGGACGATTCTGAGGTTGGCACACACAAACTTAGTCTTCCCATCACCACCACCAGCCAAAGTGCATTTTCCTTACCACACCTGTGACCTGAGGATCGATGGAGACTGCTTCATGGTGTCATCAGAGGCAGATACCTATTATGGAGCCAAGATGAAATGCAAGGTGATGGCTGACTCCTGCCTTCCCAGAAACCCCCTGGGTCTCAAACAAGGGTCATAATGGAGTGATTCTAGACCAAGAGTTGGTTCCTTCAACTTCTCCTGCTCTCTTCATTAGTATAAAGCAGGGATCTCAGACTCAGAAGCTCATAGAAGCCAGGAGGTCACTTAATGACCTATGGTACCCAGCCAGGCACAATGTCCCACCAAACCTCTATCTAAGGAGGTCCTGACTCAGCTCCAGCTGCTGGCTGTCATTCAGGAGTGCCAGGTCAGGGTGGCCAGAACTGAGGAAATTTTTTAAAAGCAGAAATCCAGGTTTTTAATTAGTGTCTATTGATTTATTAAGGTTGGCAATCAATTCATATATATTTAAGACATCCTTCCAAGGGCAGGGCCCTGACTGGACCTGGGGGCTCCCAGTTGGGCCACTGTGCACTGATGGAGGAGAAGCTGGAAGCAGAGAGGAAGGGGGACCCACCCCAACTCTCAGAAGCAGGTGGTCATTGGGGGTGGGGGTGACGACAGCCTGGCCAACACATACATACATTTTGGATCCATGGCCATGTGGGGTGGCAGGATGGGCAGGAAGGGGGCCCTGCTAATGTGACCCGGGATGGGGGTTTCAGGGAAAGGGAGGGGTGCTAGCCCAGATTGAGAGCCAGAAAGTACAGGACATCCTCGCCTTCTACCTGGGCCGCCTGGAGAGCACCAACGAGGTGACCAACAGTGACTTTGAGACCAGGAATTTCTGGATTGGTAAGTACCCAGCTGGTTGAAGGATGAGGTGAATTTGGGGACTAATGCCTCATGCAGCCTCAGGAATCCTGGGTTGTAGCAACCCAGAACACCCCCTAGCAGACAGCTAGGGCATGGTGAGGGCTTGGAGCCCAGAATGGGGCCAGTAGTCAGACTGCCAATCACCTTCCTTTGGGAGAGGGCTGCAGGGAGGGGAGAACCCAGGCAGTAGGGGCTGGAAACACTGGGAAGAGAGGTTTGGGGCTAGGGTCCCAAAGGCATTAGGCAGCAGACTCCTCCCTAAGGTCTCCTGGCTCAGGCCCTCCTCCCAGGGTCTCTGAGTGGGGGCCCAGGCTCTCAGCAGGTTGGCTACTCTGACCCAGGGCTCACCTACAAGACAGCTAAAGATTCTTTCCGCTGGACAACTGGGGAGCACCAGTCCTTTACCAGTTTTGCTTTTGGGCAGCCTGACAACCAGGGGTAAGTCTGAGTTATCCACTCTCCCCTGGGTCCCTTTCTCATTTGGGCCTGCCTGACTGAATCTTCAGACTCCATTGTAGAACCAGCCCAGCCAGCTGCCTGGTCAAGCCTCTGCGGCTCTGGGTCTTACCTGGTGCCAGATGCCAGGGAAGCCTGGACCCAGCTGATGCAGGCACAAGACTCAGGAGAAGGAGGGACAAGTCAGAAGGCACATCATATAAAAGAGAGAGGACCCAGGAAGGCCTTATCTACCATCCTCACTCTTTTTCCTCAGCTGTCCTTCCATCATTATCCACTCCTTCCTCCCTCTGCATTGAAACACTGGTTCTGGCATTTTTTAAGCCACCCACCCATCTGCACTCTTCATGCATATAACCAGCCACCAGCTGACCCACCAGATGGCCTGTATAAAGGACCTTTTGGCTTTGTGGCCTTGCTTTGGTCTGCAAAGCCCACAAATATCCAGGGCAGGGGTGGAGGTGGTGAGGCTGTGTAGCCACCAATAGCTCCAAATACCTCTGGGCTCTGAGTGGGGCCCCAGGCTCTCAGGTGGTGGGCAACCTTGGTTACCTAGGCCCAAAGAGTAAGAGCTCTCCTTGCTGGCAGCCAACCCTGACCAGACTCTTCTGCTGGGAGGAAAGAATGTGGGTCTGTCTGTTCCAGACCTCTCCCCGTCCCCCACTGATGTGGCTGAGTGCTGAAGTGGGGGCTTTCCTGAGACCCTCTCAGCTTCCTGGAGGAGAGCTGCAGTGCTATGGAGGTGGGATAGGAGTTTGGTAGTGGGTCTGGCTCCCAGCAGCCCCATCTTCAAGTTGGGAGCACTTGGGCCTCACAGATGCAAGTGGCCTAATGGGGTGGAGGGCTTTAGACTCTCCCAGACTCCATGGGCTGGCAAGGTGGCTTAAGTGGTAGAATGGCTGCCTCACAAGCATGAGGCCCTGAGTTCTAAGCCCAGTCTGGGAGACTGTCTCAGACACCTGATTTCACTCCTCTACCCTGAGCACCTCATATCCTGATTCAGTAGGTTTGGCAACTGCGTGGAGCTGCAGGCATCTGCTGCTTTCAACTGGAATGACCAACGCTGTAAAACTCGAAACCGTTATATCTGCCAGTTTGGTGAGGGTCTTCTCTCAGCTCCCCTCCTCTAGTTCCTATCCCCTGGGGTAACGATGATTTGCTCCAGGCTGCTAAGATAGGCAAGTCACAGGCACAGAGACTGTGAGGACACAGGGCCACAGCAGATGTCCTGCTCGGAGACTTGTTTGAGGTGTTTGAGGCTCAGAGAGGGTACGGTGGGCCCAGCATCACATAGTGAGTCCATGCAAAGGCAGGACTCAAGTCACATTTTGGTGGGGCCTTTCCGGGTGCTGGTGGTTCACACCTGTAATTGTAGCTACTCAGGAGGCAGAGATCAGGAAGATGGCGGTTCAAAGCCAGTCCAGGCAAATAGTTTGAAAGACCCTATCTTAAAAAACCCATCACAAAAAAAGGCCTGGTGGAGTGGCTCAAAGCCACTCCCTGAGTTCAAACCCCAGTACTGAAAAAAAAAAAAAAAGCCATGGCATGGGAACTTCCAGACTGAGTGCAACAGGGTCCCTACCCCAGGACTGCCTTGGATGCCACCAAGCCCCACCTTTGTGTTGCTTCCTTTCCAGCTCAGGAGCACATTTCCCGGTGGGACCCAGGGCCTTCAGCTTGGTCAGGAAGCTCTCCTGCCAGCCCTGGGGCACACTGACCCTGCCTGCCTGTCTGCTCACCTGTGTGGAATGAGGGGCCAGGCTAGGACTGCATGTTCAACATCCAAAGAGGTCTTAGACCTGGCTCCATGCAGGAAGTTGGTCAGAGGATGGCAGCAAAGATAGAGAAGGGGTGCTTCAGGAGTCTGGGATGGCACGAGGAGAGCCTGGGCCTCTCACCCTGCTTTTGATTGAGAAGATGGGTTTCCATGAGCCACTGAAAGAGAAGCCAGAGCCTGAGGTCAAAAGATGTCACTCTCCTCCAACTGGGCCAAAGCCTGGGGCAGCTGGAGCTTTCTGGGAACCCAGCAAAGGATTAAACTAAGTTATGAATCAGCTGGGCTAGCAACTGTTTGTTTCAAAGGGGAATTTAGATGACCCAGAAAGATCCTGGGAAGACCAAAGGGGATCTGACGCTTCACTGCCCAGTTGTCCCTTTCCTGCTCACCCTCGTGACTCAGGCCACTTTCTGGTTGTTTTCAGGTTCCCCAGTAATTTGGAAGACCAGACTCTACCTGGTGTGTGTGTATGTGTGTGTGTGTACAGATGGAGTGCTGTCACATACCAGGGCTGACATAACAATTAGAATGTATAGTTCCATTCCCTCCTCCAGTTCTTCAGACATCATAGCTGGCACTTAAACACTGTGTGTCAGGTGCTATAATCAACACTTGACATCTATTAACTCATTTAAACACCTACACATCCTCATTGAGAAGGGAGTACTACTACGCCCATTTCACAGTCAAAGAAATGGAGGCACAGAGAAGATGAGTAACTTGTCCGAGATAACACAACTGGGAAACAAAAACCTTTTTCTAGTTCCGTCTGAGTGATGGGGACAGAATGGGGGCGAATGGAAGGCTTGGTTGTGCCCAAGTTCAGAACGTGGGCAGACACGGGGCTTTCACAAAATGCCAACAATATCGGCCATTCACAAGAGGAGGCAGTTAGACGGTCGCTGCAGGGCCAAACCCCAGACCCCATACTCAGACATTTGCCGGAGGTTGTCTGCAAGGACCAGGCTACAAGGGTCGGGGGCGACTTGCCCAATGCCCTGCTGCCAATGCCTTACCTGCCTTGGTTCTGTCCGTTAGTCAGACACGGACGAGCCACTCTTTCCCCTGGACAGGGACACGACTTCCCCTTAGGAGTCGCAGACACAAGCATGGTCTTGACATCACGCCTGCAGCTCAAGCGGCTCAGGAAGACCAAGCCCAAGTGTGCGCGCCCCCTGGGAGCCAGGCCCGCGCACGCGCCGCTGCAGGACCCCGTCTCTGAGCTCCCGCGCAAGGCCCCGCCCCCTCTCGAGGCCACGCCCCCTGGGCAGACCACTCCGTCTCCGCCCCCTCCCCTTGAACCCGCCTCTGCAACCCCTGCCCCTCTTGCTGCGCCGCGCGTTTGTCACCTGGTCGAAGTCCTTCCGTGCGCCTCGGGTGGAAGATGGCATGTCGCCGGATGGGCCCCCTGCGGGTGGCAGTGGGGCTGTTGGACGGCCCGGAGGCGCGTCAGAGACGTGAGTGCGCCTGCGCGCGCCCGCCGGGGTCGGGGAGGGCCCGGGCGCGCGCCCGCCGAGGCTGGACGCAGACCCCACACAACCCTCGCCCAGTGGGCAGCCGGAGACGCTGTCCAGTGCCCGCAGTATGAGCAGGCAGGTGTCAGCGTGGGCGGAGTCACTTCCTGGGCCCGGCAGGTGTAGACACCGGGTGCGGGAAAACCTGCCTCGCGCGGTGGCCCTCAGGCGGTGGTCCTCAGGTCACAGCGAGGGAAACCGAGGAGCACGTCCAGTCACCCCTGCGGTTGTCATGGTCCCGGGCTTTGGCTACCTAAAAGGAGAGTCCGTCATGGGCAGGTGATCAGCCTAAGGTGTGAGGAGGCTGCCTGTCCGAGGCGTGGTGTCCTGGGCAACCTCCTCTCCCTCTACTTCCTTCCGTCTGGCACTCCTGGCCCATATCTTGGCCTAGCCAACAATCCGAGGAGACAATACAAACCAAGCAATCGGCATTAATCAGATGGTGGTTATTTATGATACAAGAAGATTCTGCAGCTCATAGTGAATCCCTGTAGTAAGTTCTGGAAAAACTTAGAAGATCTGACTTACCAGCCTGCATGGTGGTACATATCTGTAATCTCTACTACTCGGGAGGTAGAGACAAGAGGATCAAGAATTCATCCCGGGTTTGAGGACAGGATGGAGACCATGTCTCAAAACAAAGACAAAAAGGACTGGGCATGTGGCTGAAATGGTAGAGTGCTTACCTAGTAACTATGAGGCCCTGAGCTCAAACCCCAGTCCAAAAAAACCAAACGAGCAAAACCCGCTGACTTAGCATGTCTATCTCTGTGGAGTTTTATCAAGGGAACTTATTTTTCTTTGAGATGGTAAACTTTTCCAGGCCAGGGTGCGTGTTTCCCCAAAGGCTGTGAAAGTCCATGAAAGCACATGGTGCTTACTTCATGTACTGGAAAAGTGATGAGGGGCAATGGACCTTGATCTGGTTCTTTAAAAATCCTCCCTTAGGTATGGCTCACGACTGAAATCCCAGCTACTAGGGAGGTGAGATTGGGAGGATTGAGATTTGAGGTCAGCCAGGCAAAAAGCTAGCATACCCCATCTTAACTAATAAAACCGTGTGTAGTGGTATGTGCCTGTTATCCCAGTCAGGCAGGAAGTTTAATAGAAGGATCTTGGTTCAGGTCACCTGGAACAGAAATTTGAGACCCTATTAAAAAAAATAACTAAAGCAAAAAGGGCTGGGGACATGGCTCAAGTGGTAGAGTGTTCAAGTACAAGGCCCCAAATTCAAATCACAGTACCACCAATAAAAATGAATGAATGAATGAATAAATAAATATCCCCACATCTCAGGAAGCTGAGGTAAGAGGATCAGGAGGTCCAGATCAGCCTGGGTTATAGTGAGGACCTGTCTGAAAAAAGAAAAACAAAAGTTCCCACTTGTGTTTACCTTCACCAGGGGAAAGAGGGAAACAAACTCAGTTGACTGTGGCCCAAACTCAGACTGAGAACAGATGCATGTCCAGGGGGAGAGGGAGAATGTGGAATAAGGCAAACCTGGGATTTCCCAGGCAAAAGAACTGCTTTCCTGAGATTTTCCCCAGAACTGCACAGAGGACCCTTTGCTATGCTTTCTGGCTCAAGCTGGTGTTCTAAATGTGGTTCTAAAAGGCAGAGCTCTGTCTGGGCCACAAACTTGGTGACTTTGTAGCTTGGTTGCAAACAAACAAACAAAAAACTACATAACCATATGCTTCCAATTAGGAATGGTCTGCATGTACTACAATACTAAAATATATGTACACTATGAGAGAGACACAAATAAAAACATTAAAGGGCAAATATAAAAACAAATATAGCCAAGCACTGGTGGCTCACATCTGTAATCCTGGCTATTCAAGAGGCAGCGATCAGGAGGATATCAATTCAAAGCCAGCCTAGGCAAATAGTTTGTAAGACCCTATCTTGAAAATACCCAACACACACACACACACACACACACACACACACACACACAGAGGCTGGTGGAGTGGCTCAAGTGGTAGAGTTCCTGCTTAGCAAGCATGAGGTTCTGAGTTCAAACCCTATTACTGCCAGAAAAATGAAAAAAAAAAAAGACAAATGTAAATATCCTAACACTTTTGTCATGGATCTGGAGGGACTTCCTTGTGGAGCTTGAGCAGTGCTACCTGCTCTCTGGAGACCATGCATACAGAAAACCTAGGGTGCCTACAAATGTGGGCATTGCCTTCCTATGGCCATTAGCACAACTTCTCTCCCCAACAGATCTTGACTTCAGTGTGACCTTTGTACCCTTCAATGGCAGGAGCCAGTAGGTCCCTCAAAGCCTTGCATTTGATGGGTGCTTTGTTCTAGGGGACCACAGGATTAACTGTCTTGCCATGACATGCCATGGGCGGCTGGCGTCCTGTCTCTTAATACTAGCTGGATTTTCACTGTTCTCTGGCCACCTACCAACCTTAGATTGCCCCAGTTTCCTTCAGGCCTTCTTGCTCCATCCACACCTAGTCCTATTTTGGTATAAAATCAAAGTTCTTCATTGTAAGCCACAGAAAAGAATTCTGGCAACTCTTAAGCAGAAATGAGTTTGTGGACTATAGTTGTAAGGTTATAGGGGCCCTGGAAGGGTCAGAGAATAAGATCATGGCAGAAGTGGCATGGTGAAGACCCCACTGCCTCTGTGGGGCACAGAAGCAACACTTGGCACCACTGAAGTAGGACAGAGATGCCACCCATGTAGCTGTTGCTGTCACCTCCAGTTGCTGAGATGCTTCTTCTCCCCATTAGCAGCTTTAATTCAAAGTTGGGTCTGTGAGTTTGATTGCCCAGGTCCTAGCTGCAAGGAAGGCTGAGTAAGGAAGGCAGAAAGGGACATTTTCAGCTTCTTTCATGGTAGGCAGGCTCAAAGTTTTGGAATAATGATAACACAGGAAGAGACTCAGATGTGGGACAGACAAAACAATGATGCATGTCCACTGCAAGAAGCCACTGGTGCATGAGGATTTGGGGCCATAGTGCTAGTCTTATCATCGCACGTCCTCCCCACTCTGCCGCCACTTCCACACTAACCAAGGAGTCATCAGCCATTGATTCTGTCATGGTGGAGTAGGTAATGGAGCAACCCTATGCAAAGGCAATGAGGTTGCCCTGCTTTGTGTGTACCTGGACTTCAGACTATTTGCAACAAACCATCTGATTTCTTGAAACAGTGTATCAGTTTCCAGGAAGGGGACTGAGATCTCACCACTTCTAGCTAGCTGTCCATGTGGCCCTGGACACATTCGTTAACTTTTTTGTAAGATAGGGGTTAGTAGTAATAGCATCTCCTAGTGAGGTCAGTGGGGGTTAGATGGGATATTGGATGGAAAGTTCATAATGCAATACCTGGCAAAGAGTAGGAATTCAATCACTGTTAATTGCTGCTTGAAGTCTTTAATATTGGGGATGATACAATTACCCCTT